ACTAAGGAATAGCTTCGATACCAAGTTGTAAACGACTAAATTTTCCATTCTACTTTAGTCACTTAACCACACCTCTGACCACTTGGAGGAGTCTCATTCACAACCTCCATAAGTCCAATTCAGGACTTGGGACTTGCTAGCCCCGAGAATGGCATCCATGCCACTCAACATTTGCACTTGGTCCAAGTGCTCCACGTGTCCGATCCCATGACTGACACTCAAAGGTACCACCGACATAGCAGCTTGTTATGCTAAGGCCATGCCCAATCCCCTTTGCCACACTGGTAGTCCAATACCACTTGCATCCCAGTCTTGGCTCTCCAAGACTAGGCAACCCATCCGTGAGTGGTCATCTCAGATCCACTCCTTAGCATCCTTAGGATGCCCACCGACAAGGGGAATAGCCTTCCCCAATATCCCTCTGTCAGTCTCCACTAAGTCCCTTTTTGCCCTTGGCCGTGTTTGCCAACACCGCCACTGGATTGAGGCCCACAGGCCCGACCACTAAGTCCCACGGTCCTCTGGGACTTCCTCACCACACGACTGTGTCCTTGGTCACTGCCCCAGAGGACTGCTCCTCTTCCTTTCCACAGTCTGGGCCTTTGGGACAACATTTCGGAACACTGTGGCCTTACGCGAGCCACCTGGGTACTCTCCCCGCCTTCCGCCCTTGGGTGCTCTAGCCATGGGCTTAGAACGAGGTTCCGTTGAGCCACGCCTGGTATCCAAGTAGGTAGTGCCACCCACACTTGGATTGGGAGCATCGGCCAGTCGATCTCCCGGGGGAACTAGAGCCAGCTCTTGAACACTTCACCAAGCTACCCCGCTTGTCGGTCCGTGTTCACTCTAGTCTTGGACTTCCCAGTGGTCAGCTCATCACCCAACACTGGGTCTGGCCAAACTGGGCCAAACTGGCCTTTCCTGGCTAAACTGGCTCCACTGGGCTCCAACCCCCACACTCTTCCTACTATACTTTTGGAACCCCCTGCAGCCCCCCCCCCCCCCCCCCCCTCCCCTGGGGGACGATCACTTTGGGCTTTCACCCAACTGCCTGTATTAGTATTCGGACTCGGACTCGAACTCGAACTCGGACTCGGACTCGGTCTCGGTCTCGGTCCCGGTCTTGATTCCATCTCGGACTCCATCTCGGGTCCATCTCGGACTCCATCTCGGGTCCATCTCGGACTCCATCTCGGGTCCATCTCGGACTCCATCTCGGGTCCATCTCGGACTCCATCTCAGGTCCATCTTGGACTCCATCTCGGGTCCATCTCGGACTCCATCTCGGACTCCATATCGGACTCCACTTCGGGTCCATCTCGGACTCCATCTCGGACTTCATATCGGACTCCACTTCGGGTCCATCTCGGACTCCATATCGGACTCCATCTCGGACTCCACTTTGGACTCCATATCGGACTCCATATCGGACTCCACTTCGGGTCCATATCGGACTCCATATCGGACTCCATCTCGGACTCCATTTCAGACTCCATATCGGACTCCATATCGGACTCCACTTCGGGTCCATCTCGGACTCCAACTCGGGTCCGCCTCGGACTCCATCTCGGACACTTCCACGTGTCATGTGTTGGTCCTTTTTGGGTCCCTTTTTGGAGCCTTGCTTATTGGTTGCCTCGTGCTTGCTCCTCGAGCACTTTGTTGGGAGTTCCACTCCCGCTCTTGACCTTCCAAGTCAGAGCTTTTAGTCCAAACGTGTTATGCTCATTTGGCTTTTGCTTCGGCCACTACCACGTGGCACCCTTTCCGGCTCCACTTTGGGGCCTAGGGATTTTGTGTCTCACAGAAAGGTAGTTCAATCATTCATTTAAATTGGTGTGTTTCCCATATAGTGTGCTATCTGTTAAATTTCAGAGTTTCTTCCTTAACAGTTTGCTAGACTCAAATATGTATCGATAAGGACGTTGATTTTCCTCAAAGGGGGAAGAGTGTTGCGAATGTAACTTTGGGTATCAAAAGATACTTATTAGCTAGTCTTTATAGATACTCTCTCCTTACTTCCACAACAGTAGAAGATTGGTATTGTTATTTCCCTTTATAATCTCCACCCAAGCTAGTTGAAAAATTGGTCATCATGTATGCACTTGACCAAATGAACATAAAGATAGAATTTCTAAATGCTATTAGTCAAACATATTTAACTTGGTTAG